TGAGTGGAAACATCTGCTTAAGAACATTGCTTCAGCTAATGTCCACTCTCTCTCCTGCAGCTTTTATTTTTTCCTCTTTATTAGATCAGCAAAAACATATGTTGTTTGCTCTCTGACTTAACAAGCAAATGCCTCCTTTGATCCCACTGTCCCTTCCAAAATTATTCTGTTCTATATGGAGAAAAAGACTTTTAAAGAATTGTCTATACTCTCTGTACAATTGCTCTCCCCTGGTTCCTCCCCATCAAATCCTTCCAAATGGTGCCCCTATTATGGCACCAGACTGCTCTTGTGAAGGCCATCCACATGCACTAGTGTGTCCATATAGTTTATCACCTAGATAAACTATATCTAGGAACACACTATATCTGGAACGTGCTTAAGAGTGAAGGGGGTGCCATTAACAATTTCATCAGGATAACAGGCACAGACCTGCAAGGTCCACAGGAAACCCCATGTCTGAGATTATGTTCTGTAAAAGCAGACACTGAGACAGAGAGTTCCATGAGGAAGGTTGATGGGCTGTGCAGGTGGCGATTACTCCAGGAGGCATACCTGTAAGAAGGTGGGAAAGGCAGGGCAGGGCAAAGGAAGAGGCTGACCCACCACATAGGTACAAGTGAGACTCAGCCTATGCTATGGGACAGCTCTACAGCTGGGTTGGCCCTTTATCATCATCCCAAATTCAGTCAAGGGGGCTGGCTAGCTTGTGTGGTCCCTACATCAGCCATGTGAGTTGGGGGCATAACTTTGGGTGAGGAGTTTTCCTATAGATGAGGGCAATTCCCACTGAGGGCTACAGCTGCAAGCTAAAATCCCAGTAGCTAAAGGATGCTTATGTTAGCTCTGAACACCAGATCTACGTGGAGCACCTGATTGTCCCTACACTAGAATGTAAGATCACACCCGTATCAGCCATATTGCTATCTGATTTGATAGCCAAGTCTCAGGACTCACCCTACTGGACTTTTCAGCTACTTTAGATCTGTGTGATTGCACCCTTTCTCCTGAAATACATCATGTTTCTTCTATTACCTTCTCCTAGTTTTCCTATTCTCTCACTGCTCTCTTCTCCTTTATGTTCTATTGTCATGCTTACTCATTTCTTTGATTAGTGACCTCTGGTGTGGCACAGAACTCAGTCTCCTCTCACTTTGCTGACTCCCCAGGTCAGTGTCTGCAAAGTACTACTCATAGGACAAACCCTACTCATTACCTGATGTGGCAAAGTTTTATTGGAAGAGAGCCACATACATTGTTATTGCCTATGACTAATTTTGTGCTACAGTCACAACGTTAAATCATTGTGAGAGAGACTATATGCCCTGCAGAGCCAAAAATATTTATTATGTTGCTCTTTATGAAAAGAGTTTGGCTGATTGTTGCCCTAGATGATCTGATCCCATCTCCAAAAAGAGAGTATCTCCTTTAGGCCTTTAAAAATGTCACTTTTCTAATGAGGTTCTCCCGCCCCCCTTACCCCCCTATATACACATTTGGCACATTTGCTGTACCTAGTCCTAGTTTTAATATTTCTTCCTTGTCATTATCTCTATTAGTCAGTGTTCTCCAGAGAAATAGAACCAATAGGATATGTGCATATATGCAGAGAGATTTATTTTAAGGAATTGGCTCATGTAATAATTATAGAGGCTAATCCAAAATTTTCAAGGAAAGAACAACAGGCTGGAGACCCAGGGAAGAGTTAATGTTACAGTTCGAGTTCAAAGTCTGTCTGCTGCAGAATTCCTTCCTGCTTTGGGGAGGTCACTCTTTTGTTTTATTAAGGCCTTTACCTGGTTGGATGAAGCCCACCAATATTTTAGAGGACAATGTCTTTATTCAAAATCCACCAGTTTAAATGCTAATCTCATCCAAAAATACCCTTGCAGAAACATTCAGAATAATGATTGACTAAATATCTGGACATCATGGCTCAGCAAAGTTAATACATAAAATTAATCATCAAATTATCTAATGTACCTACATGCAGTTTATTGTCTTTTCCCACCCCTAACTTAATAGTAACTTTCACGTGGAAGGGATTTTTTGTGTGTGTTGTTCACTGCCATATACTCTGAGTGCCTGGAGCAGTTGCTCAGCTCATAGGTGGTGTTCCACATATATTTATTGATTGAATGAGTGCATGCAGTAAGGTTTACATTCATGCATCACTTAACAATGGTTATGTGTTCTGAGAAATGTATCTTTAGGTGATTCTGTCATTGTGCAAACATTACAGAGTATACTTACACAAATCTAGATGGTGTAGCATGCTGTATGCCTTGGCTATATGCCTATTGTCTATTGATCCTAGGCTACAGACTTGAACAGCATGTTACTGTACTGAATACTGTAGTCAGTGGGAATACAATGGTAAGTATCTGTGTATCTAAATATAGAAAAAGTACAGTAAATATGGTATTATAATCTTATGGAACCACCATTATATATGCAGTCTGTTGTTAACTGAAATGTCATTTGTTGACTGTATATGACTCTCAAGGTCTCTTTAGCCGAGATCTTGCCCTGAACTCCAAACAAGTATATCCAACTATGTTATATGCACCTTCACTTTCCACTTGGGTTTATAAGAAATCTCAATAAAACGTGTCCAAAGCTGAACTCAGGATCTTTTCCCTGACATCTTCCTGTCTCACTCCTTCATCTTCTCCAGTGATTCTTTCCTTGATCTCTCTCTGTTTAAAATTTCTTTTTCTTTCTTTCTTTCTTTCTTTCTTTCTTTCTTTCTTTCTTTCTTTCTTTCTTTCTTTCTTTCTTTCTTTCTTTCTTTCTTTTCTTTTGTACTTATCACTATCTAAAATACTATCTCTTAATACTATATATATATTTTGGTAGCCAGTAACCTTCCCATAAGGTAAGTTACTTAAAGGCACACATTTTTTCTTTTTCTTTTCTTTTTTTTTGTAACTTTTTTTATAGTTTATTGTCCTACCCCCAGTCTCTAATGCAGTGCTTGGTACATTATTAATATAGTATACTTACAGATCCCCAACATAAAATGAATAAAAGAGGAGCTACTTTAGTTAAAGATAATGAAAAGACTTGTAAACAATGCTCTACAGACACTCACCTATCCAAGAAGCACCCTTGCAGAATCAGGATCATTTTAGGATCTTCTAATCTGTACACACATTGAAAACCCCGCCACTCATTATATAAAACATACTAAAATGTACCAATATCCCACATTCAACATACATTTTGGCTGTAAAAATTTGACTTTGGAATTAATTGCTAAGAGTAACTGCTTAAAGTTGATTTTCACTTCTCATTAATTATTACCCATTTTCTGGAAAACTTTAAAGAATGAGGGTATCTAACTTATAAACTGTTTTCAATTATAGTATGTTCAGAGATACTAAATTTAATATTAATATAGCTGAAAAAAAATAATCTAAAATTGACACCTAATAAAATATTCATTAATGCCAAACCAATACTATAATTTTTGTATTTTGGAGACAATAAGGTTTTTTTTTTTTCTTTTTAGCAGAATTTTTGTCAACCTCTGGCAAAGTGGCCTTTCCAGAACTGTAAGAATAAGGAGCTCATAAAGCCACCTGTATAGGGAGAGGAGATTGGGAAAGTAAATTGGAGACAATGTGCCAGAGTTCCTTTAATTAGACCTGCTCATAAAGGTGGTTAAGGGCTGTGGCTTCCACGGGCTGTGCCACTGAGAGGGGCTGCTGTGGGAAGTGACCCTCTCCCAGCTGACAGCCTGCAGTTGTGGGTGACTTCAGGATCTGCCCCTGATTTTGAGCCTAGGCTCTGCTCTTCCCAGGCAGCCTCAGATAATGACTTGGAACAGCGGCAGCCCTCAGCCTGGCCATTTCCATCCACGGAGGACCGTCCACAGGCCATCTTTGTGCTGGGGTCCCCCAGCAACCTGGGCAACCTGGGACTTGCTCAGAGGTGTGCTGCAGTCAGAGGCTCTTTCTAACCATGTCCCCTGTCTCTCTCCTCTTTTCTCACAGGTTGTCAGACCCACGATGGTTGAAAGATCTTCTTGCCTACCCCAGCTCTCTCTCCATCGTTATCTTTAAGAGGCGTTGCCCTCAATAAATTTCTTGTACTTCTCTGTCTTGGCATCTGCTTCCTTTAGGACCCAGCTATCAGAGGGGCATGATCTAAGGTACTTTGCCTGGCTCTTAAAGTCACTGTAAACTAGACCGATATGCCTAGCCAACCTGATATCTCAATCTTCCCCACATTACCTTTCCTTTCAGGCAAGCAGACTCCAACACGAGACGGTGATGCCATCTCTAACATATGCTTCGTTTATTCAGGCCTTGGCTCACATTCTGTTTTCTGTCCTCCGCAATTCCATGCGTTCACATCCGGGTATCTCATAATTCCCAAAGCCTTTGTGAATCCTTTTACTAGCCTAGCCAAAACGGATTTATAAAATCTCTAAAATTCTGTTACATTTAGGGGAAAAGCTAGTCCATCCCTTAAATATTTCAATAGTTTTATCAATTTCATTTTAATATTCTCAAGGTCAACTAATAAATCTTTTATATTCTTTTCCTGTCACATCACCTGGTAGATTTCTAGGTACATAGGAGAGTCTTAAAATTTTTTTTGTTCTTCTATTCAGACCTATGTGTCAACAATTTAAATACTTAGAAAATAATTGAAAGAGGCTAAAGTCTAATAGCAGCTACTATCAAATATATATATAAAAAAAAAAGAGCTGGACCCCAGAGCTCATAATGAAACAGTAGTGTTTCTAATTAAATTTCAGACTTGTTAGGAGGTTGTACTGTGATTCAATGATAATGAGAAGTCTGGACACTAAGAGGAAGTGTAATATGGAAGTGGCTTTATCATATAAATCACATTAGATTTAAAAAAAAAAAATCACATTCAACCTTGACCAAAGCAGTTTTATTAACTGCTCTACTAATGCAAACCACTTTCTGGAGGAAAGGAGAAACAAAAATAATCTTTGTCTTATACTTTTTCAAAGTCACGATTTATTTAATGAGTCCAAAATGAGATCTTTTTCAGGAAGTAATCTTGACAAACATATGCTTATCTCCTTTTGACAGCAACAATAAACTGAAAGTCAAAAAAGGAAGGGTCAGGAAGAAAAGACATTTGTGAGTTAGGTGCGTGTGTGGCAATGCAAGCCTGAGTCTGAGGTTCCACCCTTGAACTAGACCTGACTTAGATGGGGAAAGTAGGATGTTTCATAGCTAAAGAAAATGGGGGATCTTTTGTAAGTCTTCTTTGCCTTCTGGAGGGCATATGACTCAACAAGCCAGCATTTATTGGACTCGTGGGAAAGAAAACAGTGTTTGAAAACCTGGCACCCGACATTATAAAAGCCAGCTCCCCTCCCGGAGGCTGAACAGGCAGGGGTCCAGAGACTTGGAGCCCTGAGCTCCCTCAAGTAAAGAGAGATCACGACACAGGAAGAACACAAATAAATTTCAGGGCAATAGTTTAGGCGCTTCACTTCCTGATGGTTTTTGGCTCCTTCCCTTTTTGAATTGGGAACAATGGATCAATGGAGAACTCTTTATGAAAAGGAAAGTTTTGCTCACTCATAATTGTAATACCAAGCTGATTCATGAAATTTAGTACATAATTTCTTTAAGAGGGTTTGTTATTTTTTTTTTTTTTTTTTTTGCTCTGTTTTGTTTTTTACTGTGGCACCATTATCTTTCTGTATGGCAAGGCCAATTTAGTGGCTATAAGAAGAAATTGCATTTTCTACCATTCTCGTTTTATATGTGGTCCTTGTTTGCTTCATATTTTCAAAATGCTGTTTATGAGAAGGATGAGTTTCTCAAACAGAATGTCTCAATTTAATGAGAGATTTCTGTCAAAAAGAAGTGATCATTAGGACAAATTTATTTTTTAGGATGATCTTATTTACATTAACATATATAAAATCTCATCCTCCAAATACCTTATTTTTATGTTTCTAAAAAGAGGTGGAACATTTCCAAAAAGAGGTGAATATTGACTGTAATCTCTTGGTGAAGTCAATTCATAGCAATAACATGACAGTATTGGTTCAAGTCTCTTTCCTTTATCCAGGTAGCATTCATTAGTTTAGGTTCAAATTGGGATCAGAGAATTCAGGGATATATCTTTACAATCTCTGCAATGACTGATGGTGTTTATTTAAAAGTCATTGTCATGGTTTATATGAACTATATTGGTGAGGATTAGAGTCTTTTCAATTATTTCCAAGGTGGAGTTCCAAAATCAAGTTCAACAAACAAGATCCCACACCCCTGTGTTTGTGGAAAGCAGAAATGAAAGCATTCTTACCATCCATAAAAGGTTTTCTTTTAGCAACTGTTCCACAAAAGCAGTTAAAGATATATTAAATAAAACCTCTTGCCCTACCTTTTTAAAGGTACTGGTTATGCCTGTTGTTCTTTGGGTTTATTAAAACTTATACAAATTGAAATAGGTTCTTTGTTGATCTCATAAGTCATAGATTTTTAAAATGTTTTTACATATGCTAAAAGTTACAGTGTCACATTACATTTATAAGAATTTAAAACCTAAATTGGAACCAATATCAGCAACTCTACCTAGTTTAAGCTAATATTCCAGAATAAATAATCAATTATATATTTGAAAATATGTCAGAAAATCAAAAAGAGTCTTATTTAAAATCATAAAATCTTCTAACAAAATGTCCTGCTTAAGTAATAATATAATGCAAGATATGTATGCTATGTATAACCTTTAAGAAATGAGTCCTGCATGATAAATGAGAAATTATTCCATTTTACTGTAATAGTTGACTGCATTGCATTTGTTTAACATGCTTTCACTTTAAAATAAAACAAAAGCTGTTGTCACTGTTTAAGTAACATCTTTTAAAACATTTCCTCTTGGGAAATTTAACTTGCAAAGTAAATAAGTTTTACAGAGCAAATATTATGCCTGTAAAAATAAGAATGTAAACCAAATTTAAATTGGGACCAAAATAAAAAGGAATTGAGTTTTCTAGAATTTTCAGATTCTTAAGGTAAAGATAGCTCCTATTTCACAACTTCTAGATATGGAAACCCATAGCTAGTGTGCAGCATGTTTCCTGAGGGCCATGGAGTTCTTCTGCTCTGGGCTTCCCAGGCCTGGGTCAGAAGTTGAACCATGCTATAAACGGACTCAGATAGCACTTTCAAATTCTGATATATTCTGCCAAAACAAATTGTTGATTAGCATTTATGAGAATCACACAAGTATTACCAATCCTATACCTCATAGGCCCACAAGGTGTCAATCCACTCTAACTACTCTACTCAGTAGGACAATACAACTGCTCTCCAGGAAGTGAGATTAATCTTTTAATTTTCTCTAAGTGATTCACCAACCTGGCTTTGATAATTCTAGTTGAGTAGATAGAATTGGCCTCACCTTCATGTCTATCAAAGGTAACGACTAGGGATTGAATGTGTTCCCCAGTGTTCATGTGTTGGGAACTTAACCCACAATGCAACACTGTTGAGAGGTGGAAGCTTGAAGAAGTGATTAGTACATGAGGGCATGAATGAATTAATGTCACTATTGTGGGAGTGGGCTTCTTATAAAATTGTGTCTGGCCCCCTCTTGCTCTCTGTTGCTCTTACCTTCTCTTTCCCTTCACCTTCAGCCATGCGATGATTCCAGCACCATGCTCTTGGACTTCCCGGCCTCCAGAATTATGAACCGAATAAATTTCTGTTCACTATGAATTACGTGGTCTGTGATATTCTGTTATAGCAACATAAAATGGACTAAGAAAGTCCCCTTAAAGATATGCCTTAAATGTGACCATACAGTTTTCACTTCCTTGTCACAGGGACAAGTCTGGGAAATGGAGTACAACCCAGAGGAATGTGTCTAGGAAAAACGAAGAATGAAGAATGTGGTGAGACAAAATAAATCTCCCAGTAATTGTTAAATCTTAGTGCGAATAAGAATTCCCCAGTGAGGGGGGGGCTGGTAGGGGACTGAGGGGGGCAGTGCTTAGTAATGTAGAATCTGGGGTTTGACATCTAGAATTCTGATTCAAAAGGTCAAGGCAAGATTAAGTTTAGAAATCTATATTACAAGGACTTTTGGTAATTCTTATTTCAAGGGTCTAAGGTCTATCCCTTGAAGATCTCAGCTTTAAGTAAATGAAGGGTTTAATCTCTTGCCTAACCCCGACTTCCTTTTAAAAATAACCTTTGAGCTAGAGAAGCTATAAAACGATTATCATGTTCTTGAAGACAGTAGGTAGTTGACTCATCTTTTCTCCCAGGAGCACCAATTGACATTTACCTTCAGCTCAGTCACTTCCACAGCCCACTCATTTAATGATGGCACAACCCTGTGGTTAGAAGGTTCATAAATGGAAATATACACAGCAGTGGTGGCCTTTTATTTATACACTCATTTCAAAGAGAAGTCAGAGCAGTTAGCTGTGTGCAGTCTGTTTACTAAACAGAGTTTAAGCAATGGGCATAGACAGAGATCCTTTCAGCTTAATGTCTACCAGATGATTAAAAAAGTTTCCAGTTAGCTTCCTGCTCACAACCTAGCCAGCAAAGCGGTAATACCTGTAAAATAATTAGGGTGCAGCATGTGCTTAATTTATTCCAAACATTGCTAGATTTTCACATTAGCATTAATGACTTGCTTATAGTGGAACCCTAGAGGCAATATAAAATAATAGGAGGCTAAAAAGTTGTAACTAAAAAGGATGTGTTAAAAAAAAAAAATTGCTCATACTGTTTGTGGTGTGCCCTACCAAAAGATTGTGGTTCAATGTTCACATTGTTCTCTCCAGACAGTACTAATTTGTTTCCAATTAAAAGAAAATAGATTGCAAATGACTTCACAGTGCAGCCTGGTCAAAGGAATAAGGTCTAGCTTATAATGTTGCCTCAGGAGCAGCTATTGTGCTGCAGGGTGCAGATCTAGCTCTTGGTTGTGCAGAGGAGCTGTGTCTAAAGACAGGAGTGAAAGTTATTCTGGTGATCGAATTTATTGTGCTGCCGAGGCTAGTTATTACCCTCTATTTGGGTAGTTTGGAGAAGCTTACAGGTCTTTGTGGAGTATAGAGATTAATAAACTTGCATCTCAATTCATATTGAGTAATTGTTAATGCTTACCCTCATTTTTAATAGTGTAAAGCCTTCCATCCACTGCCTTGTCATAAGAGGGTAATTGTTTCCTTATGATCCTCATCTCTTTGATATCTGGACAATGAGCTATGAGGCAGGCATCTGATGAAGTAAGAGAAGACAGGGAGAAAGGAAATGTTCTCAGTGATGCGATAAAAGACACTGAAGACCTATGACCCATTCTGACCCTTGACAAGAAAAAGTTGGGAAATGCTTCTCATTCTTTGTGTTTGCATTAAAGTCCAGGAAGCAACAGAAATGAGGATGTTACCATCTGCAAAGGGAAATGTTTTTGCATTTCAAAAATTAACAGGCATATACAAAAACTTAGACATTCTCTTTACCTACTTTACATAGTCTGAAGGAACTGGGACCTTATCAGTCTTTAATCAGAAACACAGAATTCCTGTATACATTCTCTAAAGAGAATCTGGATCTCCAAGGTATCAGCGGATCTATGTGGAATTAATCAGCTCTATGAATTACGAGCTACTGGTCAAAGTAAATGTCTTTGTTTCTATCTGTTGAAGTGAGTGGGTCAAATACTGGAATGAAATAAACTCAAGTAGCTATTCCCCTGAGTTCTGATTTGCTACCAGTGAGGACTGTGCTTGTAGCAAAAAACAAACAAATAAACAAAACAAAATAAAACAAACCCCACCAAATCCTAAAAAAACTTGTTTAAGCAAAACAAAAGGGATTATTGGAATAAAAGGATTATTTTGGGAGAAAAAGGACTCTACTTGTCTAAGTTTCAGGAATATAGATTTTCAACTTCCTGGATCTTTATAGTTGGCAAGAACTAACACATACTAAGTAACCACATGTAACCATCATTATTCTTTTCAAGGCATGTCACTAAAAGTTAAATCATCTTAGGAAAAATTATCCAAAACTTTGAAATAAAGCAAAAGGTGAGTGGCATATCTTTTCAATGTATACAGAAGAATGGACCCACCCTTTTTATTATTGATTAAAGATCTTAATTGTGAGGTTATATGTTAACATGCATATTTTTGTCCAATAGAGAGACAAATAATTTTTGTCCAGTAGAAAAAAATAATTCTGAAGTTATGGCTTGTCGTATAGGATGATAACCAGTTTTATACCTAATCCAGCAATATTACCCTAATTGCCTTTTATTAAATTGTCTGTAAATACCTGGATCCACAAATATCTTTTGAACTGATCTTAATAACTTATTGGTTCTCTCATTAATTAAAGAGTTAATAAAATCTTTGATAAGGATTCATTTTACACTTGCATGGGAGTCATAATTTTACCTTTTAGAAAATGATACTTCAGCAATAACTAAAAAGCATTTATTGTACAGTCACTGGTGAGACATAAACTAGTCTTAGTATGCAAACGCTGTTTAGAAATTAGTTTCACACTGTGATTTCCCTAAATAGATCCCGTTCTCTTTGGAAAAATATACTCCTCAATGTTGTTCAACAATCTCAGTCCTTTTGTGCCGATGGGGTAACTGAATTCACTGTTTCCTTTGCCGGGACTGCAATGCTCCCCAAAGCACACGTGACTAATTCCCTTATTTCTTTCAGGTCTCTGCTTAAATGTCATCTTCTTGGAGAGATCTTCTTGATCATTCAACCTGAAGCAAGATTTTCTCTGTCACTTAACCTAATTTATTTTTCTGCATAGCACAATTGCTTGTCATACATCTGTTTGTTTATTTGTCTGTCTTCCTCTATTAGAATATAAAATTTACGAAAGCAAGGACATTCTATATCTGCACAGATTTACATTTTGTCCTTCTTGGTTTCCAGGTAAAGCTTATATTATTTCGCACAGTATGCACACACAGCTAGGAGGAAGGCAGATAGAAGACCTTATTGGCATCACAAGAAAACCAGGTACATAATGAGTTTAAAATGAAATGAGTGATGGTAATAGATAATATTGAGCATTCAGTATTATCCATGCTGTATTCTAAGTGCCATTACTACATGTGACTTATTTGTGTTTCACTTACTTAATCCTTGTCACAGCCAATGAGTTAAGAAATATCATTATGTCTATTTGATAGATGATGCAGTGAGCACAGGATGGTTAAGATACTTTCCTAAATTTACACAGGAAAAATTGGAGCCCTGATGTTCAAGCAGAGTGCCTTTAGGTAAGCAAAAAGAAATTTTGATGTCTATACTCCTGCACTCTTGCTAACTGAAATATAAATCATACAAAGACAGGATTCTAGTGTGTTGTTGTTTTGTTTTGCTGTTGTTACCCAGGGCCTAGGAATGTATTTGTTGCATGATAGATAGTCAAAGTAGTCAATAAAATGAGTGATGTATGAATTAATGAATTTTTTAAAAATAATCTACTATCTTTCAGGGACTTTCCTTGGTATTGAAGATATGACAGACAACAAGAGGCCAACCCTGAGAAGAAAAACTACATAAGGAAAACCGATAACTTACCGTAGAAAATTTAACACATTTAAAGTATGGCACAAAAATCACACCTTAATAGTAGCCTTTCTATTTTCTACAAACTCAACTTGGGAAGGCAAATGTCTTCCCTGACTGTGGAAATATTTTGTCAGCCTTGTCAAAATGAACAGCGATCCTCTTACATAAGCACACTAGGGCTCCGGAGCTAAAGCTGCCTCTCCAGAGTTGGTGGCAGCCTCCTTGGGGTGTTTGAACTGTCGTTTGGGGCCCAGCTGCTTTGCCAGTAGTACGTCCTCTGGCAGCCCAGGGAGAAAGTCTGCCAGTCCTAGTCGGCCAAGTAAGATAAAGATTTAAAATAAATGTTATCCCTTCTCCATGTTCCCTGGCCTGAGAAAGTCCATAACCGAATCAGTTTATCTAATAATTTTATGTGTGAAAGAGGTAGACGTAATAATTGCAGTTTTAAAAGGGGGACAGAGGAAAGAAATGGCTTCCCTAGGGCTGCCACTTCTGCAGCAAAAGTCAAATCAAGATTAAACCTCAGAATTTCTCAGTTTAAAATCTGTTTTCTATGGAAAAATTACCGTGACAGTGCCTTAAGCCCTGAAGACTACCAGCAGTCTGACTTAAGGTTTAGTATTAGTGGAAATGTTATTTTAAAAACTTGCGGGAGGAACACAATTTTCTGGTATCTGGGGAAGTAACGGTTCTTGCAACAGGTGGCACTGGGAGCAGATGAACCGACAAAACTGAAATGAGAAAATTGAGGATATGTTCAAAAGCAGTTGTAGAAAATGATGCTGTATTAGAAACATTTAAAAACATTCAATGCACAGGGGAAACTGAAATCATGAAGAGATTTTTATCCAAAAACTAACTCAGTCTGTCTTCTTTCTTTCTTTCTTTCTTTCTTTCTTTCTTTCTTTCTTTCTTTCTTTCTTTCTTTCTTTCTTTCTTTCTTTTCTTTCTTTCTGTTTCTTTTTTTCTTTCTGTCTTTCTTGCTTTCTTTCTGTCTGTCTTGCTTTCTTTCTTTCTGTCTGTCTGTCTTTCTTTCTGTCTGTCTTTCTGTCTTTCTTTCTTGTCTTTCATTAGAATTCACAGTATTAGACTTTGTGGTCATCCCCTATCACTGTGTAGGAAGGTTGACAGAATAATTAGCACCTGAATTTCTGGGTTAAAGAAAAAACGAAAAACCAAAAACCTCAGTCCTCTGATTGATCATCTGGTTTATTTTCTCTTCCTTTTGTGTGGGGCCTCTATCCCCTTACTGTGCACAGTGGGGGATCAAAATGAAGCCAAGTGAGAGGAAACAATTTTAGTCTCCTTTGAATTCTTAGAGAAAAGCTAAAGTAATTTACAAATGCTGTCCTGAAGATGACCGTGCTTTTTTTTTTTTAGTTAATATCAATATCAGGACAACTTAATATTTTGAACCTTTATGAAAGCATATTTTTAATCAAGAAAAGCATCATTTGTCAGTTTGAAAAAGAGCATTCAAATTGAGGTCAGAATGGAATGAAAACTTTCTATGTGAGAGACGGATAGACAACTTCCATTCTCTCTTTCATTTAACTGAACAGAAAACTGAGGTCCAGAAACGTTCATGGCTGAACTGATTCCCTCACCTTCAGAAGAAATGCTAAAAACCAGATCCTTCTCTTTTCACCATACCACAGTCCTGAATTTCTCATTGTATGGTTGAAAAGAAATGAGGACTATCAAGTGAGTACTTCAGAATAGAAGCCCAAACATTGAGGAAAATTCTTTTTTTTGTTAAGATGAAATACATGAAATTTCACTATGATGGAATTTATATTCTAACAGATAAATATGCAGAATTTTACATGAATATGGCCCATGCCAAAGAGCAGGATTAAATATTGTCACAGATAAACTGAACTTATGTTGTTTTTCATAGATAATAATATAAGCCTATGTCACAGAGTTCCTGATCCTCCGTGTCTCTAACTCTTCAGGTGATAAACTGAACCAATTTCCTCCAGGCTCTTATTTTCCCATAAAATTCTGGAAATGGTTTGAGTACCTTTTATACTGCCAGATAAAACTATTTCGAACTAAAGAAATAGAAAGAGATCTTCCTTGGGTTTTGTGGAGGGGTTGCTTGGTTTTGGAGAAATTGAAGAAGAAATGGGCAAAGGCATTCTAACACCTAGATTTAGATGGGGGAAGGGATTCAAATGTAAGGAAAGGGACAGAGGTCAAGGCTAGAAATGAGAAAAGGGTTGTGTAACATTAGAACAGCCAAAAATAGGACAACAAAGATGAATCTGTAGTGAGTTGAATGGGTGAATTCTACAAAAGATGGATCCATATTTTAATCCCTGGAACCTGTGATTGTCAATCTATATGGTGAAAGATGTGATTAAGCTAAGGATTTTGAGAAAAGGAGTTTATCGTGGGTTGTTCAGGTAGACCCTAAATGCAATCACACGTATCTTTAAAAGAGAGACATCTATTACACAATATGGTGACTATAGTTAATAACAATGTAATTTATATTTGAAAATCACTAAGAGAGTAGATTTTAAGTGTTCTCATTCTTAAAAAATATATATAAGTATGTAAGGCTATGCATATGTTAATGAGACCTTCTGCCAAATTGTTCGAATTAAGAAACTTTGATGACAGTGTTACCTACAAAGG